CAAATGCTTCAGAAGGAGCAGTGGTCCTGTATGCACCAACATCATCAGTAGCCAATAACAATATGAGCTCTCTGAGTCCAGGATTGAGTGACAGAGGGAGGACACCAGACAGCACTACCGTGATGGCTGTGTTAGAAGTTATTGTCGGCTAGAAACAGGTTGTTATCTGACCGGTGACCATTCTGTCCCCATTGGCCACACTCATACGACTCTTCTCTGAGCCTAGGTGCTCGACCTGTGCATTCAAGTCTACAGCTGATACTATGATGTCCATCGAACGCCCGTGCCACAGAAGTCGTCCTTAATTACATCCGGGCTAAAATCCGTGGCTGCATAAACAGAGACGACGGTTGCTTCTAACTCTTGTACGACCTATCCTCAGTAATATAAACGACTGTGAACAGGGAACCAGTCAGGTAATTCGGACTCGGCCCTACTACTTAGTGAGATACCGCCAACATCTAAGCCGAATGTCTATGTCGCAGGGTCCCTGGATAAGTGTGTTATTCAGTCTAGCAGATTGTAAAGATATCCGAAGTACTTCACTGGTATATTGTGTGCGGGTCCCTCCACTGCAGTACACATCAGTAGGGAGGCTTCTCAGAGTTCCCACCAGACCTGCTTGTTGTCCGATTGCCATCAATGTGCAAACATTGCAGGTGGAAAATTTGAATGCAACATGCAGTCCCAGAGTAGCGATATTGGATGTCACAATGGAGGCCAGCTTTCTGAAGGTAACTAGCTAACAACTGGAAGTGGTACGGAGAGACTGAGATTTCAAGCAACAGCGAATTGTGAGTCAGTCAATTCAATTGTGAAGTGAATGAAGAGAATGGTTCTTCAATTTCTGATTTCTTCATCATCTCAACGCTCTTTTCATTTGTCGGGTTCTAATAATAATAATAATAATAATAAGTTTAACATTACTGTCAGAATGATCTTCGTTATTGTCTTTTTTTCACTGTCTCCATATTCTTTTAAATGGAAACTCAATCATCTTAGTTGACTCACTAGTAGTAATGATGTTCATATTGCCAATTTTCAAATCCGTCTAATTATCTTCATCAGTTGTGCTTTAATCACTATGCATTCTTTTTCTCCTTTAACATAAATATCTTCATTACATCGTTGCATAATTTTTTATCATTTAATTCTAACCATTAATCGATAATGTGCTGTTACATACTTGTATTGCATATAAATAAATATAAAGTATGTATAGAGTATAGCTTAAGAAAATGACTATTTATGTCTTTTGATTTTATTCCTTTGCGTTCCCGGTGGAACACAAGACTTTAAGCTTGAGCAGTGAAGTTTCAGTAAGTGGTATTTTCTGTGGGATGGAGCTGCTAGTCTCATGCCCAACCGTTCCCTGTTTACCAGGCTTACTACTGGCTAAGGAGGTCTAGGGACTGAACCCCGAACCACATGTGTGATTGACGCGTATTCCACCACCGGAACATAGATGCACAAGAAAATCACTAAATTAAAAGGAAAACAACAATTTTCTCCTCTACGCTGTCTTCTGTTTCTTCGTGACCAAACAGATTTCACGTGGGATTTAAAATGGTTAACTATTATTCCACACTCACTTATTTAGATTTGAGTAACATGAGTATTTTCTTTATAATTACATAGAAAATCCGATTCGTGCGGTTTCAAAATAATTGATAACTAGTAGTGAAATGGAAACCTGAATTGGTGCAGAATTCAAAATAGCAACCTGCGAATAGCAGTTTATTTTAAAAATAGAATTACTCCTAATAATAATATAAACAAATTGTAAGATTTTGTGACTCTAGAGGACAATTACATTTATGGCATTGATTCGGTTATCCTGGTTTGCCAAATGAACCATATTATTATCACCTTGAGCTCCAAGAGGAACATGAAGCTTTAACAGCACATCTCCAATTTATCGTGTTCTCTGCAATTTTCTTTAGCCAGCTCCACGAATGCCTATAAGGTTTCATTTGTTCCTTACACAATTTCCTATATGGCACCCTCAGACGCCCAATTCGTCGTTTCCCATTCGTGTCCCACTCGAGCCATGACCTGGCCTGAATCCTAGTTCTAAATATTCACTTATAACAGTTGGAAATTGTATTCATTCGAAACTATTAAATATTAAGATGTTTTTATGACGAATTATATTTGATATACTTCAAAGTATGCTTTACTCAAGTTTTCAACTGCTTTTAAACATTGGCTCCTATTTTCATATACTATTCAGTTTCTTTTGACATGACCAAATGAATAGCAGCATAAAACCTTACATATAAAGCGGAGCTGTTAGCCTGAGTGGATTTATCATTAGATCGATTGATATGTGATATAAATCTCCTGATATTAGCCTGGATTAGTGGACGTGAATCATTCTGCTCAAGCAGTAATGAAAGTTGCTCTGAGAAACATTACTTTCCCTTGTATCAGGAAAATGAAATCTCTAAGACCTACAAAACTATTGAAACAAACAGATATTCCTTATAAGCTGAATAGCATTACAACTGCACACCAACAAAATTATGTCCAAAGAAATTCAAAGACATCTAAGGTTGGGAAATCATAGAAAAATGATAAACCACTTTTTTAACTTCCATATTCCTAGTTCTTATTCAAGCTGATTTGAATAAGTATTTAAAGCTACTTTTTGCATCAGCAGTCCGTGAATGAAGTTCTTATTATGTGAATAATCTATTTTAAGGATAAACTTCGCTTTGAAATAGTTATGAAAATCAGACTGCCTATATTAAACCAGAGTACTGTCTAGTGTAATCATTATAATAAACTTAAATAAATCTTAGCACAGGCCTTCTACTTTAAACCACGTGGTTGTGTGAACTTATCAGTGATATTAATGACAGCATATTTATACAAGTTAATCTGGAAACGTACTGACAAACGCTCTCCGATTTTCAACGCGAAATATCATTTAACTGAAATGACTTTAATTACTTAAAAGTTAACAAATGATTTTGTTTTATCACAAAAGAAAATGTTAATAAAATACGAGACTTCATGTGCCCTTAACATGTGTTCTACACAAAATTCTAGGGGTAATTAGATGACTCAGAGGATTACACCTACTTCATCAACTGAAAGTGAAATAGTTGGATATTAATAGTAGAGTAATTTTCTAATATTTTAGTACCTCTTTTAGGTACTTGTCAACTAAAGTCGTATGGAAAATGTTAACAACATAAATAAATGCTTTTTAAAAGATAAGTACTTTGAGCAAAGCAGTATTCAACATGAATACGAATTTCAACACTCTAGTGCAGTGTGGTTCAGTGGTAGAATGCTTGCTGACCACTCACGTGGCCCGGGTTCAATTTCCGACCGGCGCACTCCTAAACCTCGCTTACCCAACAGATAGTAAGGTCGGGAGACAGAGATGGTTGGGGTTCAGGCTAGCAAGCATACCCCATAAAAACAACACCACCGCTACTGGAACTTTTAAGCCCAAGCTTGAAGCCCTGTGTGCCACTCAGAACGCAAGAGAATGAAGAACAAAAACGTAATCATAAAGCAACTTCTTGAATAAAGAAACATTATCATTTTTGCACTAAGAATTACTGTGTGGTGATTCCAGTTCCAACACATTATATTTACACGTCAAGTATGAGTTAGCAAAGAGGGGATATGAAAATATCATTGGGTCTAGCAGAATACTCTATGAAAAATGAAGAAAAGGAAGCGAAAATGCAGAAATGTGATAGTATATTCGACTTGACGATATACTACGCTTGCATAGGTGCCACCATAATCCGTTTAGTATATAACGGTTGGCCCATGACACTATGCGGACCCAGTTTTCGCCCTACTATACTACCTGGATCAACAATCAATAGATTTACGGACTAGTACCAGATGACCGATTCGTTCTAGTTTAAGGCTGCTCACCCCTATGCACTAATGATCGATTCAAATTTAAGTAAAGTATGTCACTATAAAATCATTAGGCTGATGCGAAAACGATAACTGGACTTTATAACGCTTTAGAGTCCAACGATCACGTAAGACTCAACCTTCTCAAAGTGATACGGGCGTCAAGAGAAATCAAAATCCATTGTAAATCTGCATTTCCTAAAGTGCCAGTGAAATAGTGTAGGCGAAATTAACTAGATCCCCACTTTAGAAAACTAGAGTATGACCAGCAAATCTGGAGGCAATGAAACCTCAGTGTGAAATCGACCTTTGCCTTTACCAACGGTTGGACCCTGTCTTACGGAGAGATTCAGAGGTACAGAACTTTTATGCTGGCGTAGATAAATTCACAGCTTTCTTTGTATGCCTGGAAATATTGTTACTGTTTACCCACTATTTACTTTCAATAATCGGCTTCTGTCGCTGAATTGCTTTAAGAAGTATCACAACTCGAACGGATCAACTCTTATGCAACGTGAGATATTAGGTTTACCTTCATTTTTATGACGGCTAATAATCAGCAAATATACATTCTTAGCAGAATCATAGATCCCATTTAAACCACCAGATGGAAAACACTTTTTTAAAAATTCTTTCAGAGAACACGACCATTGATTTGTACCAATCTCTCTCTCGCGCGTATGAAGCATTCAAGCCACGTCACAGCGGCGAATACTACTTTCATCGAAGTATACATAACATGCAAGGGATACCAAAAACCTCTCCACAGTGTGAGAAAACTATATAACCTTGGACGCAATAGCATAGAATTAAGTCAGGGGTTATGCAGAAGTCTCACTACCTCACTGAAAGGGACAGACGTAACCACAAAACTACTTATTGACAAAAAGAAACTATCGAGTAGCATTCTTACAGAAGCAAATACTAACTAAACCTCCAAGGTGCCGTACATGGTAGGATAAATATTTAACATTCATTTAACTGAAGAAACAAGTTATCTAAAGTGAGGCAAAAGAAAATATGGATACACTCTAGTGTAGTCGTGGAACAAATCACAATTATTCTTTAACGGAATCGTAAACATGTAACGTAAGAAGGAACTGCATAATAAGACCAAAACGTATATTTTGCACACGCGTAAGGGAATATTACATTGGAAGTGAATGAGGAAAAGTGAAAATCATGTTTCGTCTAACGAACAGGAAAATTAACCGGAGGATTGTAAAAAACAGGTGATACTTCACTTCTGTGTCCCAGGGATGTTTTTCACCAAAAATGCCCGAAGATCCTCCATCTCCTGAAATAGTATTCAGTAAAAACTAATTGCTACTGTAGTCTTACCTGTTCACATGATGAATGAGACAGATGAGGATAGCTTTTAAGTTCACACTTGGATAATTGGAAAGTTTGTAACAGCTCATGAGTAAGCTTGCCCATAGCAAAGGGAATCGTGCAATCTTGCAACCCATGACACTGAAAAATTGGGACATCCTTTGGCATAGTCAAAAGCTAAACACTGATAAGCAACAGCAAACACTTACTGTAGGAGACGTCATGAATTTCACATGAAGTGGAAGCCAACAACTAAAAGCAACAACGCCACCATAGCGACTTGTCCCCGTTAATGCATTATAAAGAGCAACCGAACCACCTTGAGAAAATCCGCCAATAACTATATTCTCAATAGGAATTCCAGCTTTCACTTCAGAATCTACAAATTTTCCCACTTTATTCAGCATAAATTGGAAGTAAAAATAAGTAAGACATACATTCACTTGACGCCTCCTTAATTCCCGCTTCATCTTGCCTAGCATTTTCGCTCAAAGCATATATATCATACCTAATCACTAATTAATCAAAAATCACTCACGACAAACCAAGCTGGCATTTGCATTCCTCCATTTAGCGTGACTGGAATTGAATTCCTACATTAAATAATATAAAACATCCAAAATATTAATTATCTTACGCATGGGGACAAATGACTTTGAAGTAATCCGGAACATGTGATCTCAATGCATCTGACCAACCATGTCTAGTAGCACACACATTTAGAATAGGGAAGATTTACCCTGTATCACCCAGTCCGTGCAGAAAAATCAACTGAAATGCAAAACCAGATCGAAAGGATTTAACTCACATAGTTGTCAAAAAATTACGAAGTTACTACTTCTGGTTACAAAATCAATGAGATGTTTGCGCGCTCAAGAACCTGTCTATTTAATTCATGCCAGTGTACATTGTAGTAAGGTGGTAATCAAGAAATTCTCAGTGAATACTTGTATATCAAGGGTACTTAGCATCACACACGATTGCAACTACACTTGCGACTCTTACTATAATGCTCACTGGTCACAGTGGCAGCTTGGATCGAGAGAATGTTTGCATGATTGCGCGGGTGTTGCTCGGCACTAATGACCATATTACTAATATTAAGTTAATTTGCAACTTATTTTAATCTCATCAAAGTCAGTTGATACTTGATAACAAGTAATAATAAGTCAAGAAATTAATACAAAGATTGTTTAAAAGAGATAATGGAAACAACTGCTTACTATTCTAATCGAAGACCAGCTTATGATCTGTTATAGAAAAAGTATAGTATTGTGCTGCTTTTGGGGATTGATGACATGCTCCCATCTTACCAGTGTCAACTCCTAATCGATCACTAAGGAATGCAAATGTCATTTTCGGCACCTATTGATACCAAATAGATGAATGCGAACGCCATGGCTGAACGGTAACAACCAGATTATACGAGACGTCATGGGTACTATGGAATTGGAGAGTTTGACTTACATTGGCCAACCACAAGTTGAAATCAGTCCATAAAATCTCTGGGTGCATGTTTGGTCCCATATTCATAGACTGTCTGATATACTAAGACCCATTTGTTGGAAACTTGGTGAGATGGCTCGATGTAATAGCCAATGGTGCAGATGCACCCCTCTTTGCAATTTCCCAGGTCAACTAAATGCCCATTATTCTCCATACAATGATCCTTTTTCCCAAAATGTTTTCGTTATTTTTTCTACCTTTACCTTAAGCATCGAAATTCTTACAGCTAAAACTGAATCCTACATTATGGAAAATGGTCATAGGTCTTTCAAATAACTAGTCAATCTTCAGTCATTAAATTAACCCCAGGAGTGCAATCACTTTGATATTTAAGAACTCTGTCCCAGACACCCTATTGTGTGTTTGTGTTAATGCATGCAGTGCGACTGCTGGGATTTTCTCTAAATTACTTATCTTCATGGGATCAATCAATCTAACCTTAGCTAAATTCTTATTGTTCTAACAGGCACCTGACTAGCCCTGACCAATGTAGTTCCTCATGAGGAAATAATGCTGACTTAAGAAGTATATACATAAACATGAAACTGTTTGCGAAACCCCATGAAAATATACAACGCTGCTGCAAGAATGTAGACGTGGAATTAGGAAAAAGCTCGTTACAATGTATTACCGAACTTCTGGACTGGAATGGAGTATACCTAGTCAAGTGAACAACCAACCAAATGGCCTCAAACAAGCCCGACTAACCCTATATTCGAAGGTATAGGCACGGATTCTGTGCACGAATCACGTTGCAAATTTGGTTGCAGATTTGGACAATGTGCTAATATAAAGGACGAAAAACGGCCAACATGGAGGGACAGTGATTGTTCAGAGATAGGCAAAAGCAAGTGATTCATGTGCAAAAAAGGTTCTACGGGGAACTAGAAGAACCGGATTTGAGCGAAACATGTCACGGAATGACATGAGAAACAGTCACCTACACGAATCCATCGACAGAAATACATCTAAACCAACACTAATTTGTTTGACGAGATTTCCTGTTCAAACAGTACTTGGAAATTATCTCATCAACAGGTGTGGTGAGGCAGAAAAGAGGGTGCATTCTGTTCAAAAACAGGAATAGTGAGGTACCTTTTCATACTTCAGTGCACAAAACACGGAATATGTACAGAAAGTGGGAGATTACTATGTTGTAAAGGTGGGAAGAACCGCACGGGAATGGGTACTCCATGTTGAATAATACCCACACTTTTCCCACATCTTATATGGTCAAAGCTGCCCATTTACTCCACTTTTACTTAATTTCTGAATTTTCAATCTCCTACGGGAACTGCATGCCAGGTGAATGTATTTGGTATGTGCCCTAACGGTTTCTTGTTCACAACCATTCTTTCGATTAGGTCAGTATAATTAAGTTATGCAAATCCTGTACACATCTAAGTGGGGTGTGTATGCATAGTACTCATACACACTCAAGTGGAGCCCCATTACGAAATGATGCGTACTTATCAATTTACAGCAAACAACTCACCGTAGCAGTGTGTTTCGAACGAGGAGAAACAACAGCAGCAGGTAATAACTTGTTAGCCATATTAACTTCTGATGTACAGCTGAAACTACTTCCCATAAAACATTAACGGCTAGCCAGTTTGTACAAGGTAGCCGCTTGAACTCAACCAAACAAGGGCTGACCTTGAAGCTAATAACTCAAATTCACACATGACCATGGCCGTTTTAAGCTTACATGGTACATTACATACTTTCCAAAAAGTATTCATCGAACTATTTGAAATAAATCCTTCACTGGCGATCTGCAAGGAAACTTTCGTAATTTTGTTCTGAAACATAAAACAAATATTTTAAGCTAAGGCTATCCCTCGCTTACTGATTTTTCTGTATAGTATCAAGAAAATCCGTCTACTGAACTTAACGTCAACCACTCCACCTCTAAAGATCAACTTTTTCTCTCTGCTGTTTGAATCATATTGCGGACAACTCTATTTTCAAGTTATAAGAGTGTGGTTGCCGCTCTGTGATATGATTGTGTGTCCCCATATTCTCTTTGTACTGTCGTTAATGAAAACATTCTTGAATGGCCAAAATTATCGCGTCCCGTCCTCATTAACTGAAGCGGTGTTAACAATAGGTAGTGTGGCTGGAGGGCGTGTCTAATACGACAGATGGTCATAGAGCAAGTATGAGACTTATTTCTAGTTAAAGCAAAGCGGAAACAAACATGAAGCCGTTTAAGCAGCATATACAACTGGCTTTCCGTAGTACCACGTTTTCGAACACATAAAATGGCGTTGTGATTGGTTGAAATATAAATTTTAACTGTACACCAGTTACGGGAGTTTGGCAGGCTATACACAGGGGAGCATAGGTTGGTTTCTTACCTTCAGTTCGAAATACTACAGTTTGAAATATTGACAGCAGTACTGTATTCCTATCCTTAACTTGAAGCTCACGATGTCAATTTCAACTGACACAGTGGAATATTGCATTCTCTGAAATATGGAGGGACTACAGCAGCGCGAACTTTGAAAAGGGAGTGAATTTTACACGCTCCAAAAGTCTACAGATTAACTTTAAATCAGTTTATTCTGATCAAAGTTAGTTTGCTTTTCAGATCTGAGTCTATTTAAATTATAGGAAGTTGTATCTTATAATATAATAGTTATATATATATATATGTGCACTCATTGGTTTTTATCACTGAATTATAAAGGTCTATATACATTTAAAGTTATATTTAAATTTCTTCCCCAGTTCGCTCTAGACAGTGTGCCCATCAAAAACACCGCTGCGGAAGGGTTATGTGACAATTCCCAATGGATGAGGGTATGCAGTGTGATAACTGCAAGAGATGGTTTTCACAGTATGTGCACAAACCTAACTCCTGCAGCATACAAACGCTGCTTCACACCTCTAGCAAATTGGTTGTGCAATGACTATTGTAGTACTACCAAATCCCGTATTACAGAAGCCATTGCCACTCTCAGTGGGGCTTTAAAGCTCATGGACTGCGAGCGTCCTCCACTACAGGAGAACATCGACTATTGCTCAGACAACGACGACGTGACTAGCGTCATCGACAAAAAAGCACAGAAGAGCACTCACCACATTCCAGACACCAAGGCTGCCCCCACGATACTGGATAAGCCCTCCAGTGACAGTAATGGAAAGACTGCCACAAAGAAGATGCGTATCAGGGTTCAAAAACCTGCAGCTCAAGTCGCCCAGGGACTAATGGATCAAGCCTCATCCACACCGGTGAGTAGCAGGCAGATAAATCCTACCACGATTAGCGAGGAAAACGCCAATCAATGGCGTAACGTAGTCTCTCGCAAAAAGCGAGATAAGGACAATACATTGGGCACACTGCCCACGGAGGGCAGAAAGACATTTACGCCGCAGAGCAAGAAAGCCACGGCAAGTAAACCCGATCTCTCTGACAGGTCGCTCATTCTCCACAAAGTGGAAGAGTCACTGGCCCCCGATCCCAAGATCAGATTTCAGCATGACCTTAACTTGGTTAAGCCCCTTTTAGACAAGCCACTGCCACAAAGAGTTTCAGGCATTACTATACACAGCGTATATAGAATGGGCCAAAAGCCTGACCCCACAGTAAGTCAGCCTGTACGTCTCCTGAAAGTCGTACTAAAATCGAAAGAAGAGAGGGATGCTATTCTAAGCAACTCTCATATTCTTAAAGGATCTGGCATATATGTCCGCGCCGACTTAAGCCTAGTAGGCCGTGTCAAAAGACAGTCTGCGGCCCTAGAATTAAGCGAACGACGCCGAAACGGCGAAAAGAACCTCAAGAATAGGGTTTTCGGGTTGTCCGAGTTCGCAGTTTAATCATCCCGAAACCTCTGTGGGTAGGCAGGGGAAGCACTAAACTGAATTGACAGTTTGCTACACAAACACCCACAGCCTGTTAAATAAACGGACTGAGCTGGTTAACATGATAGACTCCAGAAACCCGGATGTAATTATTATCACAGAGACATGCCTCACACCCGATGTCACTGACAGCGAAGTTAACCTGCCAAACTTCGAAGTGCATAGGTCGGACCAACTAAACCGCAAGGGAGGTGGCGTAGTCATCTACCTTAAGAAATGCTTAACCGTGCGTAGTATCGAAGCACTCGCTCACGAAAGTGAGTCGTGCGAACTTCTACGCTTCAGACTTAAATACATAGGCCAAGACATTGACCTCATTTCTATGTACCGCAGTCCTGACTGCGGTGCAGATGACTTCCTGATAGAGAAGCTAGGCTCCTGGACCTCGAAATGTCGAAGTCTCATAGTTGGCGACTTCAACGCCCCAACAGTTGACTTGACGAGCCTAACAACTCCATCCTGAGTCAACTCCTTTGATTATAAACTGCTGGAATCTAGTATATCGTTAGCCATAGTCCAACATATCATACCCATGACTCACAGCACTCCTCCTCAACTCTGTACCTAGTGTTCTCCCATGGTGAGGATGTAGATCTCATACAACATCTTCCTCCTTTAGGAAGAAGTAACCATGCTGTGCTCACTTTCAAGTTCACAGCAACGGCAGCAACGGCCAAAACCCCATCTCGACCAAACGTTTGGAAAGCTGATATAAATGCAATCGTCTCAGCAGCCAACTCAGTAAACTAATACATGAACCCAGAGTCCCAATTAGAAGCCGCATGGAACCAATTTAAACAACTTTACGCCCAAGTAACTGAACCTTTCATCCCTTGGTCTGTCCCAAAGGGTCGAAACATTGCTCCTCCTGGATAAACCGAGAGGTTCGTAAGTTACTCAGACGTAAACACAAATGTTGGAACTTGTTTGCCACACTTGAGACTTCTGAGACCAGGCAATTATATAACACTGCTAGAAATAAGGCTGTTGCAGAAATCCGCCAATCAAGGGTGAAGTTCGAAGCACACCTGACTCAAAATGCAAAGGCACAACCTAAGAAAATTTCCTCGTTCATGAACTTCAGGAATAAAACATCCAATGGTGTCTCACACCTGACTATTGACAATGATACAATCGAAGAAGATCAAGAAAAAGCAGGAGCAATGGCAAACTACTTCTCCCAAGTCTTCACTTAGGAGTCATCGCTCCCTATAGGATCAGCTATGGCTGCATCAGGAGAACACGGGATAGATCCCGTTGACATCGACCAAGGCATCGTGCTCAACTGCATAGGGAAACTAGATGCAGGGAAATCAATGGGTTCTGATAATCTTCACCCAAGGCTTCTCAAGGAGTTATCAGCCCACATAGCCGGCCCTTTGACTTCGATCTTCAAGCTTTCTCTCCAAAATGGAGTTTTACCGCGTGACTGGAAAGATGCCATAGTAGCCCCATCCACAAAGGAGGATCAAGACAAAGCCCTTCAAATTACAGGCCTATCAGCCTCACCAGCACTTTAATTAAGACACTGGAGAGAATCATCACGAAAAGCATAATGGCATATCTAAAAAATATGAGCTTATTATCAAGAGCATAGCATGGCTTCCGAAGGAGCCTCTCATGCCTGTCAAATCTTCTCACTGCAGGAGAAAACTGGGTCAAGTCCAGGGACAACAGAAGACCCATTGATGTCGTCTTCATAGACTTCAGCAAAGCCTTTGATAAAGTACCTCACAAAAGACTACTCATGAAGTTGGAAAGTCTTGGTATCAAAGGCAGCTGGCTCAGGGAATTCCTCATAGATAGGAGTCAGAGGGTTAGGATCAAGTCGAAACTCTCCTCTTGGACAGCAGTACGCAGCGGAGTGCCACAATGCATGGTCCTCGGACCTCTGCTATTTATTTTGTATATCAATGAGTTATCTCTTCTCACCGACTCCCTATGGTCCTATACGCAGATGACTTAAAAATTTAGAGAGAGCTGAAGGGCAACAGTGACACGTTCACGTTGCAAGAGGACCTCAACAAATTGTCAGAGTGGTCCACATGATGGATGCTCCCGATAAATGTGGGAAAGTGTGCAACCATGCGCATTGGACAAGCAAGCGCGAGCTCCTGCGAACTGGAGGGAATTACACTTCCATCAGTTCAGACTCACTTGGACGATTCGACCGTGGTTTTTGAACCTTGAGGTGATGTCCTCGCAATTGGTTGGTGCTAGAAGGAAGAAATGAATTAGATAAATTTGCTCCAAAATCATTTCTTAGGATACGGAATGCCAGTGTTAGGTCACCCCTAAGTCGTCTGTGTGACAGTGGAAATAAACCCAGTCGACTTAACCTCCCTTCATATGAAAGGGTTGAGAAACCTTTTATTAGCTTAGTTCCTACTCTTTGCACCCTTTCTAATAAGTCTATTTCGTATTTGAAACACGGGCTCGCTGCCTGGATCCCATATTCCAAATGAGGTCTGATATAAGTCGAATATAATATACGAAATATTTCAGCGTCAAAATTCGCAAAAGCTTTGCGTATGGCCCATAATATTCGAAAACTAATTTATCATGCGAGGAAAGACTAGACAGTTTAAATCTCTTCTCCTTTTCATACCGTAGGCAGGGAGGAGATTTAATCACAATGTTTAAAATTTTAAATAATGACTACGGACCAGACCTATTCTCTCTTTTCCTTTCCACCAGGTCGGAACACCTTAGAGGACATAGCAGGAGAGTTCAAAAGCCAAGAAGAAATCATATTGCTGTTGAGTACTGTTTCTCCCACTGAGTCATAAACTCCTGGAACCGACTCCCAGAAGAAGTGGTGTCTGCAACCTCAACTGATTCGTTCAAGAAGGGTTTGGACAACCACAGAAATTTACTAGAAAAGGATTCATATAGGCTCCAAACCTTCT